CTTATTATGGGCTGTTCAGAGTACCATCACCAAATCATTCAAGACCCCAAGCGTAAATTTTTAAATTGCCACCACCAGAATTTCTGGAAGCTGAATATACTTTAAGCATATCAGCCTTTTCTCTTGAGGATTAGGATGATAAAATTCCTTCCCAACTTTCCCACTCTGGAGAATGCCCCCTGTAGTGATACTATTAGCAGAAGCTAGAGGAGAGAGCCTGGGCTGCTGGACATAAAGTGGTTATCTTTGCTGTTTCCTTACTATTGTACTCTTAAGCCAATCATTTCACCTTTCTGGGTCTCAGCCTCCCCCTTGTGTAAAATTAGGGAGGGAAGGAAGGAGAGACTAAATTATCTTTAAGATCCCTTCCAGCCATAGCAGCCTGTGATTCTCATTAAGACTCCTTTCTTTATCTGTTCTTTCCCAGCAAAGTTTCCAGTAACCCTGGGCAAGAATGTGCCTTCAGAGATCCTCTTTTCTGTCTGTAAAACAGAGCAATAATGTGGCCATTTCTTTACAAAAGTGGTTTAGTAATTTATCCTATGGTCCATTTTGGGGATCATAGTGCAGTCCTACAGGGATCTAAGAATGGCCACCCTGGGCCACCCCAATGTGAAACCAGGTCATTCACAGTAGTGCCAAAGTTTGAAGGTGGACAGTAGTCCATCTTCTCTGCCACCTTCCTCCCAGCCTCCCTTCCTTTCCTGCCTGGCTCCCCTTCATGTGCAGTCAGGTGGCCTCCCCAGAACACAGCCCTAATCATGTATATCCCGTGCACAGATATCTTTACTAACTCTCGATGGCAGTCGTGAAGATCTGAATTCAGGCAGTTAGAAAAGAAAGGAAAGATGTGAGAAAGACTGTGCAGGTAAAAATTATAGGCCTTAGTGACTGGTATTCTGTGCAGTCAGCTCTTGCTGGTTATTCTGTGCCCTGGCCCAGAACTGAGACACAGCGAGCCCCTGGTGGTGTGGACGGCTCCAGGCATATCTAGGCCAACACGGAGAAGCAAGTGAGATGCCAAGAGGGATACTGGAATCAGCTTTCTTTTTTTGTTCTCCTAAAGTGACACCTTTGAAAAACCCTGGCATTTTTCCTGGTTAAGAAAAGACTTCAGAAAAGCTCCTCCTCTCTCTGCTGGAAAATTTCAGCCACTCCCCATTGCATTCCGATGTTAGTACCCTTCACAGATCTGACTGTAGTGCTGACTGTCATGATAAAAAGTCTGGATTGTTGCATTTGGCCTCGGGTGTGGTGGCCTTTGAAGAAGACAGAGCCAATTTCCTGCTCCTTGATGGCTGGTCTCTAGAGGATGGCGTCTCACTCACTGCAAACTCTAGGACCCTGAGGTGGACACCACTGTTAAGAACTTCAGGGATACAGAGGCTGCAGTGGAAAAATCCCTGCATTGGGGGTCAGGAGGTCTGGATTTTAGTTCCTAGGATCTGTCCTGTCTGGCTTTGTGACTCCAGGGGGACTTATTTAATCTCTCTGGATTTCATATTCTATCCTTGCAAAGATGAAGAACTAGGACAAAATCATCTCTAAATGCTGTCCTGTTCTAAAATCTAAAAGAGTGATTCATTACATGTTTTCTCTGCCAGGCCCTGTGCTAGATATGAGGAATGTAAGAATGAAAATAGTATTAAAAGTTAATATTTCTTGAGTGCTTAACTACGTGCCACAGATTGTATTAACCACTATACATAGTGTTTTCTTGAGTTCCTGGAACACCCTTGTAAGATCAGGCCTGTCATCAATATTACTGGCCTTGTGAAAGGACTGTTTCTGAGTCCTCCCCCTGCTTCCCCATATTGGGTCCCTGCTCTCCTAGCCTGACCTGGAGAGCAGTGATGTAAGAGAACCATTCCAGGTTCTCTGCCAGGAACCATGTTGCTGTGGCAGCCGCTAGGCTATTGGCTGTTAGATAGAGATGACTTAAGACATGTAAATAGAGATACAGGTAGATATTTTTCCCTTTTTCTTAAAAAAATAGACAGGATTTCTACCAAACATCAAGACTTATTATAAATCTACAATAATTAGGACAGTGTGGTTTTGGCTCAAGGATAGACAGCCCAATGGAACAGAATAAAAAGTATAGGAACAGACCCACATGTCTGTGGGCACTTATATGATGAAGGTGGCACTGTAGTGGTGCTGGGTCAACTGCACTGGTGATCATGTGGGAAAAAATTGGCTGTTGACTCCTGTTTCACACCATACACAAAAATCACTTAAAAATGAGCTGTAGATCTAAATGTAAATGTTAAAATAAACTGCTAGAAGATAACATAGAAAAATATCTTCATGATCTCAAGGTAGACAGATTTTAAACTGGACACAAAATCACTATAACCTTAAAAGAATGAATAAGTTGAATTACATTAAAAATAAGAACTACTCAAAACGCACAATTAAAAAGTGAAAGGGAAAGCTACCGAGAGGGAGAAGATAATTTGCAGCTTGTATATAACAAAGGCTTGCCCAGCCAGGCATGGCTCGGCAGTTGAGCATTGACCTGGGATCCAGGAGATAGCGGTTTGATTCCCAATCAGGGCACATGCCCAGGTTGTGGGCTTGATCCCCAGGCAGGGGCATGCAGGAGGCAACTGATCGATCAATGATGACACTCTTATCATTGATGCTTCTATCTCTCTCCCTCTCCCTTCCTCTCTCTGAAATCAATAAAGATATATTTAAAAAAACAAAACAAAGGATCATATCAATAATATAGAAAGAACCTCTTCAAATTGATAAGAGAAAGACAAATGGCCCAATCTAAAAATGGGCAAAATACTTGAATACACAGTTTACAAAAGAGAGCATCGAAATGGTTAATGAACGTATGGGAAGGTCCTCGGCCTCAATAGACTTAAAGAACATGCAAGCTAAAACCCTAATTCATTACCACTTCATACCAACTGGAATGGCTAAAACAAACTAGAAAACCCAACTATACTAAGTTTCGTAGTGTTAGCAAGAAGGTAGAGCAATTAGAACCCTCACTCACTCTGGTGGGAGTCTAAATTGGAAAGCACTTTGTAAAACTGTTTGAGAATATTGAAGATGAACATATGCATAATCTAATTAGTTCAGGTTCTAGGTATATCCCCAACAAAAATGCATACGTAGGTTCACTGAAAAATACGTACAAGAACATTGGTAGCAATGCTATTATTCATAATGACCCTACACTGGAAACAACCTAAATTTCCACCAATGGTAAAAAGGTAATAAAGTGTAGCATATTCATACAATAGACTAGGAAGGAACTATTGTTTTACCTGATACATGGTGAATTTTACAAACAGTGAATGAAAAAAGCCAGATGCCTAAGAGAACATAGTGTATCGTTTCACTTTTGTGAATTTCAAAAAACAAGCCAATTAACCCTATAGTTTTTAGAAGTTAGAATAGTGGTTACCAATTAGGGGGGCAGGAGACTTTTTTTTTTAATCTTCACCCGAGGATATATTTTCCAGTACTTTTCAGAGAGAGTGGAAGGGGGAGAAAGAAAGAGAGGAGAGAGAGAAATATCAATGTGAGAGAGACACATTGACTGGTTCGCCTCGACCAGGGCCAGGGATCAAGCCTGCAACCGAAGTGCATGCCCTTGGCCGGAATCGAACTCGGGACCCTTCAGTCCACAGGCCGACGCTCTAACCACTGAGCAAGACCAGCTAGGGTGGACAGGAGACTTTTTGAATGTTGGTGCTGGTCTATTTCTTGTTCAGGATACTGATTATACAAGTATTTTAACTTTGTGAAAATTCATTGAGCTGTATATTTATGCATTTTTCAGTGTATTATATTGCACTAAAATTTTTACTAAATTTTTTTAAAAACATAGATTTTAAGATTCTAATTTTGATTTGATAAAAGATTCACATTATAAATGTTTCAAAAAATATAAAAGGGAAACAGTTAAAAAGTCTCCTTTCCACCTCTATGCCCCGGCCACCCAGTTCCTTCACTGGCAGCCAATGATATAGTATTTTTGTGCATCCCTCTAGAGATAGTTTTTGGATATAAACTATTCAAATAAATATGTATATAACTACACACACATACCTATTCTTTTTATATGTATGGCATCCGACTGTTTTTTATATGTATGATAATATTCTGAACACATTCTACAATTTGCTTTTATCATCTAATTTATTTTAAAGGCTTTTCCATATCAGTACATAAAGAAGTTCTTTTTCTTCTTACAGCTGCCTAATGTACTAGTATATGGACATTCCATGATTTATTTAACAAGTTCCCCTCTTGATGAGTATTTAGGTTTGATTATTTCCACTTGTGTTCAACATCTTTTTTTCCCAGGCCTCATTTTAACTTTGTAACAGCAGCTTGCACAAGTTGATATGTAGTGAAGCAACACTTTAATGAAAGAGAAAAGTAGGAAAAAAATAATTTTTCTACCTCACAATTCTTAAGAGGAAGACGGTCTAAATAATTGCAGAATGTTAAAGCTATGAAGGTTAAAAGAAAACTAATGCTGAGTTTCCTTGCAATTGATTTCTTTAGGATTCTCATGAAAGCTAAGGATTCTCTCAAAAAAATGTGCACATGTGCAAAATTTTGCTTACAAATTTTGGGTTGACAGACTCCTTGAATTTCGTCTATGGGTTCTAGATTAAGAATCTGTTACCAAACATAAGCCCATCAATTTAAAAATTGGGACACTGAGGGCCAGAGATGGCAGATGAGTTTCAAGACAAGTTAATTGTAGAAGACAGTCACTTATATTCATACATCTTCAAGTAATGCCAGCAATATTCCCTTTCCTTTCATTGGCTGATGTCACAGCCTAGACTGGCAAAGTAAGCTGCCCATTCCTTTCCAGAACTTCATTTTGTAGGTACGATAGCCTGAGAGAAAATTCGTAAGCAAATTTATATGAAAGATTGATTTGTTTAAATATCAGATTGGATGATTAGAATTTTTTCTATAATAGTTTGATTTATCTTCTCTTTTTGCTTTCTGTTCAGCCCAAGAAGAAGAGGGGAAAAGTGGAAGTGAGACCCATTAATTTGGGGACAGATTATGAATATGGGGTTTTGAACATTCACATGACTGCATACGACATGGCACTGGCAGAGAGTTATGCCCAATATGTTCACAACCTCTGCAACCATCTCTCCATTAAAGTGGAGGAAAGGTATGAGGATGTCTTTGCATGAAATATTCTTGGTGTGGGTTGCATGCTCTGCTTTGTTATTGTTAAATGAGGTTTTGAGATAAAATTTACATGTGGTAATTTCACCCTTTTTAGGTATATACTTTGCCACAATCAAAATATACAACAGTTTTATTAACCCCAAAAGTTCCCCAGTGCCCAGATGTAGTCAGTCTCCCCCCCTTCCCCCTTCAAGTCCCCAGCAACCACCAATTGATTTTCTGTCCCTGTTGTTTTAAGTTCTCTAGAACATCATGTAAGTAGAATCATACAGTATGTAACTGTCTGGCCTCTTTCACTTGGCATAATGTGTTTAAGATTTATCCATGTTTTTGTAAGTATTTTATTATTGAGCAATATTCCATTAAATAGTGGATTTTAATTGGCTTATCCATTAATCAGTGGATGTATATTTGGATTGTTTCCAGTTTGTTGATTATTATGAACAAAACTGCCATAAGCATTCTCATACAGGCTTTGTGCTTCATATGTCTTCTTTTCTCTTGGATACTACCTAAGACTGGGATTTTGGGATTGTATAATGAATCCATGTTTAACTTTGTAAGAAACCGCCAAATTGTTTTCTAAATTGGCTGCACCATTTTGTATTCCCATCAGCAACACATGAGAGTTCGAGTAACTCCTTATTTTGGTCAGCACTTGGTATTGTCAAATTTATTTATTTATTTTTAAAAATATATCTTTATTAATTTCAGAGAGAGGAAGGGAGAGGGGGAGAGACAGAAACCTCAATGATGAGAGAGTCATTGATCGGCTGCAGCCCGCAACCCAGGCATGTGCCTCTATCGGGAATTGAACCCCAATCTCCTGGATCCCAGGTCAATGCTCAACCACTGAGCCACACCTGGCTGGGCTGTCAGATTTTTTCAAAAGATATTCTAATACATACATAGTAGTATCTCATAGTGGTTTTAATTTTCACTTCCCTGATAAATAAATGATATTGAGTATCTTTTCATGTACTTATTTACCTTCTGTATATCTTCTTTGATGATATGTCCAAATCTTTTGTCTATTTTTAAAATTGGGTTGTTTGTTTTTTTATTACTGAATTATGAAAGTTTTTTACAATCTATTTTTAGATAGCAGTTCTTTTTCAGTACGTGTTTTGCACATATTTCTCTGTCTATGGCTTAACTTGTCATCATCATCTTTTTTTTATTTTAAATCCTCACTCCATGTTTGTTTGTTTTTTGTTTCTTTTAATCCTCACCCAAGGATATTTTAGAGAGAGTGTAAGGGAGGGAGGGAGAGGGAGAGAGAGAGAAACATCAATGTGAGAGAGACACATCGATCGGTTGCCTCTCGCACGAGCCCCAATCAGGGCCGGGGATTGAACCTGCAACCCAGGTATGTGCCCTTGACCGGAAATCGAACCCAAGACACTTCAGTCTGATGACGACACTCTAACCACTGAGCAAAACTGGCCAGGGCTTTTGTCGTCTTATCTGAGTCTTTTGGACAGTAGAAGTTTAAGTTTGATGAAGTTCAGTTTATCAATTTTTTCCTTTGTTTTTCATGCTTTTGGTGTCATATCTAAGAAATCTTTGCCTAACCCAAGATCACAAAGATATTCTCCTATGTTTTCTTCTAGAAATTCTGTAGTTTTAAGTTTTACTTTTAGATCTGTGATCCATTTTGAGTTATTTTTGTATATAGTGTGAGATATGGGTTGAAGTTCTTTATTTTTTTAAATATACATATCCAATTGTTCAAACACCATTTGTTAAAAAGATTTTCTTTCTCCATTGAATTGTCTTAGCGCCTCCTGAAAGTCAATTAACCATGTTTGTTTAGATCTATTTCTGTACTCTATTCCCTTACATTGATCTATATATCTATGCTTACACAAATCCACACTATCTTGATTACTGTAGCTTGATTACTGAAACTACAACTTTGTTCTTTTTCAAAATTATTTTGGCTTTTCTAGGTTTTTCATAAAAATTTTATAATTAGTTTGTTGATTTCTAGAGAAAAGAGCCTGATGGAATTTTGTTGAGATTGTGTTGAATCTGTAGATAAATTTGAGGAGAATTGACATTTTATCTATTTTCATTCCTTTGATCCATTAAGATGGTATTTGTCCGCATTTATCTAGGTATTCTTTGCCTGCTCTGCTTTTCATTTACTCTTTGGATTTGTTGGAAAAGTGTAGGGGAGGAAAACTAACATTTACTGACTATCTCTAGGCCAGGCCCTTTACACATCTTATCTTAGTGTTTCAGAAAGTGTGGGGTACCCTTTTTAATTCTCATTCTAATATGTCAAGGATAAATTCTTAGTGTGGTTCTGGTATGTTCTTAACACCACTCTAAACAAACACTTTCTAATCTTTATAACAGAGAGGGTACCTCTGGCTCAGAGTCTTTGGCTAGCACTAGAATCTAGCTAGAATTTTATAACATTATTTTGTTTTCATTGTACTTATTTTTACTTTCTATTTAAGACAGCTGATACTGTTTTTTCATTTATAGTTGTAATATAAAGTTAGGTTTATTGATATATAATTTACATTCAGTAAAAATTCACCCTTTTAGTGAACAGTTTCTGAGTTTTGACAGATATACAATAGAGAGTAAATACCTTCATAATCAAGATAGAGAATATTTTCATCATCCCAAGAAGTTCTCTTCTCCCTTTGTAGTTATTCCCTCCCCATACTCCCAGCCCTTGGCAAATACTGATCTATTTTCTGTCCCTATAGTTTTTGCCTTTTCCAGAATGTCATATTAGTGGAATCATACAGTATTTTTCCTTGGAGGTCTGGCTTCTTTCACTGATAATGTATTTGAGATTCATCCATGTTTGCCAGTGTCAAGTTGTTTGTTCCTTTTTGTTGCTGATTATCATTTCATTGAATGGATGTGTGTTTGTTTATCCATTCACCAGTTGAAGGACATTTGTGTTGCTTACAGTTTTTGGCAATTATGAATAAAGCTACTATAAACATGTACAGGTTTTTGTGAGAACTTAAGTTTTTGCTTCTCTAGGGCTATGATTGCAGGGTCAAAGGGTTAAGTGTAGTGTATGTTTAAATTTATATGAAACTGCCAAACTGTTTTCCAAATTGGCTGTACCATTTTCTTTCACATCAGCTACATGAATTCCAGTTATTCCATATCTCAACTTTCTTTTTTAAATTAAATTTTAAATTGTGCTTACTTAAAGGAAAATGTTTAATAAATTATATTTTGGGTGGTTTGCCATTGTGAAAAGGTAATACATGGCACAATATATGAATATGGCAAAAATTATACTTTCTTACTCATTAGATAGATTCCCATTGTACAGATGAGGAAACCAAGGCTCAAAATAGCCAAAAGTCACAGAACTAGTAAATTACCTGGATTTAACCGAGTTCTGCCAGACTCCAGTATTTTTAATTCTATAGGGTCTTATTTTAAGTCTTTAAGTCAAATTTGAACTTTTGAACCTTTATAACTTAGAGTATAACTGTGCTAAATGTGCTCTTTGGAAGATTGGATAATAAGGCGTGCTTTTAGCTCTCACAGCAGATAGTACTTCAGTTGTTTTAGGCCTAAAGATGTGCTTTATCTATTTCTGATGCCCCAGAGAGTTGGTGCTCTTTCAGCACTTGACACACACCTCTATCATGTCACTTAGTGCTTTGGGCTGTAATCATCTATTCATGTGTCAGCTCCCCTCCCCACTGACTAGATGGGCACTGTGTTCTTTATTTCTTCAGCACCTAGCACAGGGCCTGCTTGCCACATGAGGAACATTAAGCCATTGTTGAAACAATAACAAGTTCTTCAATATGACTACACAATCCAGTTGTGTGGTGTACATTTCCTAAAGTTTAATGACAGTGCTTTTAATTAATCGATTAAAAGCTGTTGATTGAGCCTCTTCTTGCTATGTGATAAGCATTGTGCTAGGCATTCTTTTTCTTTTTCTTTTTAATTTTTTAAAAAATACATGTTTTTAGCCCTGCTGGGCGTGGCTCAGCCGTTAAGCGTTGACCTAGGATCCAGGCGATCAGGGTTCGATTCCCGGTCAGGGCACATGCCCGGGTTGCGGGCTGCAGCCGATCAATGACTCTCTCATCATNTCATGGTTCAGTTCCCAGTCAGGGCTTGATCTCCAGTAGGGGGCGTGCAGGAGGCAGCCGATCAATGACTCTCTCATCATTGATGTTTCTGTGTCTCTCTCTCCTTCTCCCTTCCTCTGTCTGAAATCAATAAAAACATATTTTTATTTATTTTATTTTATTATTATTTTTAAAATATATCTTTATTGATTTCAGACAGAGGAAGGGAGAAGGAGAGAGAGACACAGAAACATCAATGATGAGAGAGTCATTGATCGGCTGCCTCCTGCACGCCCCCTACTGGAGATCAAGCCCTGACTGGGAACTGAACCATGACCTCCCTGTTCACGGGTTGACACTCAACCACTGAGCCACACCAGCCATCCTGTACTAGGCATTCTAACTGGAGGATGCTAAGGTGAATGTTACTGATTTCAGGGAGTATGTACGTCTGTGTGTGTGCACACAAGCACACAGAGAAATAATTTTAACATAATGTGGAAGGTGGTAAGTGAAAGATAAAGTACAATGCCAGTTCAAGGAAGCAGAATAGTATAATAATTTAGAGCAATGCCTCTCAAAGTACCACTCCACGAAGGTATCAGAAGCTTATGACAAAATGTGCATTTATGCTTTGCTTCCTTCATCAAAAAAAGTCTTGCTATTGAAAAAAATTGTTGACTGAGTTAAATAGTGTGTTTAGTGACTGTTGCATGCTCCTTATCTTGTCCTAGACTGATAACAAGCAGTTTGCTCACCAGCAGCTTGTCTATGGACCACACTTTGAGTAGCACAGTACCAGCTCTGGAATCAAACTGCCTGATTTAAATTCTAGCTCTACCAGTTACTGGCAATATGACCTTAGGAAAATCTGAACCTCAGTTATTTCTCCTGTATAAATGGGATG